TTTTTTTTTTCTTTTGCAGCTTCCTCATCTCTCGCTGCCTTCATAGAATTGAAGAGACTTAGGATCTTGGTCTGAATTAGGCTTTCCCTTAAGGGAATGTTGTGGCTGGCTTTATCTTCTATCAAGACCACTAAAATTTTCTCCATACCAGCAATAAGGCTATCTCACTTTCCTATCATTTGTGTGTTCACTGGAGTAGCACTTTTAATTTATTCAAGAATGTATTCTTGGCATTCACAACTTGACTGACGGTTTAGCTCCAGAGGCCTGGCTTTCAGCCCATCTAGACTTTTGACACACCTTCCTCACTAAGCTTAATCATTTCTAGTCTTTGATTTAAAGTGAGTGACACGTGACTCTTTCACTTGAACTCTTTGAGGCCACTGTAGGGTTATTAACTGCCCTCATTTCAATATTGTTGTGTCTCAGGGAATAGGGAGGCCTGAGAAGAGGGACAGAGACAGGAGAACAGCTCGTTGGTGAGGCAGTCAGAATATATACAGCATTTATTGATTAAGTTTACTTATTTATACTAGAGTGGTTTGCCGTATCCCAAAACAATTCTAATAGTAACCTCAAAGATCACTAAACACAGATCACTGTAACAAACATAATAATAATGAAAAAGTTTGAAATATTATGAGAGTCACCAAAATGAGACCAAGAAACACAAAGTGTGAAAATGCTGTTGGAACTATGGCACTGACAGACTTGCTGTACCCAAGGTTGCCACAAACCTTCAATTTGTAAAACACACAATACCTGCGAAGTGCAATAAAGCAGAGAGCAATAAAACGAGGTATGCCTGCAAACACACACCTTAAGTTTGTTCTATAATAGATTAAAACATCAAAGAGCTTTAGAAAATACCACATGGGGCTCCACCGTTTGACCAAGGCTGAGAGTGCAGCCCTCACCTGATGGTTCTGCTGGCATCCTCGTGGTCCGGGTCTGCATCCTGCATCTCCCCACTGTCGTTCTGGCACTCTGCCATCACCATCTCAGCATCTTGGACCATCGCCTCTTCCATGTCATCCATGAGCCCACTGTTTCTTTCACTGTCATTGTCATCACTCCCTTCTTCCATGACCACATCAGACTCTGCCCCAGGGCTAAGCAAATCTAAAAACAATTGTTTTGCACCCATGAAGACAAGCCTGCAATCCTGGAACCAGGACTTAACAGAAAATTAGGCAGTCTTAAAACAAATCGATTGAAAGCCCTAAAAAAACAGTTATGTGAAGAATTTTTCTCTCACTTTCCTTTTCAATTTCACTAGTTTCACAATTTCACAATTTCAAATTCACTAGTATTTGAATTTATGAGGATAAATGTATAATTTTACAAGCAGATGCTTGTTTTTTGTGCCCCTGAGCCTAAAACATGACAAGTCATGGAAAGCCTTGGAAGGAAGCCAAGGGTGGGACAGAAACAAAGTGCTAGGAAGCAAAGCGATACCAGGCACCAGGGAAGAGGAAACTGATCTTATTTCAGTAGCACAGCCCTGGCGGGAAAAAGAAATACGTGGGAGGATGAGAGAAATTTTCACATGCAGGGAGACTCAGGACCATTGATTCTCAAAATGCCAGTAACTTTTAAAACCATGGATTCCAATATATTAAATTGGTCACATAAGCAGCAGCTTTTAAATATGTAAGATATTTGAAGTAATATTGAATCCTTCATTATATAGTTGATGGGACACAGCAAATTATAATTACTTACTAATGCAAAGTACTTATTTTAAAAACAGAAAATAGACTGATCGGAGACCCTAGCCTCTCAACCTTGGAAAATTCACATTTTACTGGACTGTCTTAACTTTATGGGAAAATACAATTTCAAAGTAATCAACATAACAAAAACTACACTGTCTCTCCTTAGTTCTAGTTATACAGCACACATTGACATTTCCTGGGCCTGAACAAAATCCATACCACACGCCACAGGAAGTAGGAAGACTGCCAAGCTTTCCTTTTTGGCAGCTAATTCATGCATCTCCAAGTGAGAAACTATATGGGAATGTTTTCCTAGAGAGCTTTCTCTTCCTCTTCTTCTAGTGAAGAAGGCTGGAGAACACAGATAATCACTTGTTCTTCAGGATTTTAGCAACAAAAATACTCAACCTGTTTTTCTGGTCCTCTATCACCAGTTTTCTTTCCAGAGGAATCAGAAAACTGACAACAGCTTGAACATATAATGCAGACTACTGTCCATGGAAAAAGTTAGCTTCAGACACTAAGTTAAATATTTGGTCAGAACCCACTAGGAATACTATCAGGGAAGAAAATGTGAGCTGCTCCTTTAGGACACAGCATTTTTTCTTAGAATTCCTTCAATGTTAATCTATGCAGTTAAAGTTTTCCTAAAGGGATGTCCCCAAACGTAGAAGAGGATATGTGGTTTTTAATTGTTTGAATTAAATTTCCTTTAATTATTATTATTATGAAAGATGCAGGTTAACAAGCACAGATAGAACGGGAAGAGTAACTGGGTGGAGGAAGGAAGTGGGTAACTCTTTCCTGATGAGTCAGTCTCTGTGACAGACAGGGAAGAAAAGTTAACTTCTGTCTCAATGCCTGGATTGAAAAGGATGAAGAAAGAGGTTGAGAGCTATAATAGGCATTCCAACAATTTCCACATTTCTGAATGAATTAGAGTAGGCGTATGAAATAAGAGAGCTGGGGAAGACATTCTGGATATCCAAGTTTTCAGTACCAGGTGGCTCACCACGTAAAAATCAAGAAAATCTCTAGCCAGTATCAAAATTCAATGATGGGTTCTTTTCTACAATAAAGTTGGACAGAGGTCATAATTTACTTTGGGCTTGATCACAAGTATGTGAACTGAAAAAACTAAAAGTAAAAAAATCCCACCAAGTCCTAACTGACACATGCCCTAAGAGGGAAAAAGCACAGACCTGACGGCTGACCTTTCACCTACCTCCATTAATGGTCACTTCGCCAAGGCAGTTGTTGGGTACTTTTGGTGCACAACGTTTGTGACAGTTGAATCTGCAATCTAATCACAGTGATTTTAAAAGAAAACAAATAAAAACCAAGCATTCATCAGAAAGAGAAGTTACAAAAAAAAAAAGATTGTAATTTCAAATGGATGAGGATTGATTTAAGGATCAAACTTGGGCTGGTGACAACTACTTGGTGGCATGATCATTCTTACCTTTGCACTGCAGGCCCTGCCGGAAGAGGCCCTTGAGAAGCTTCTTGCAGTACTGGCAGACCGTGGGCCGGGTGTAGGAGTGGATGACAAAGGTGTGCGGCACTTTTACTTTGGACAGCAAGATCTTGTCGAGCTGGATGGGCCGTCCAATGTATGACTGAGAATTCGACCTCTTCTCTCGACCAATGAATGACTCTGATGGTGACTTTTGCTACATGTTTGAAAAACAGTTCAGGACAATTAGACATGAGAGAATATCTGATTTATATATTTATGTATTTTAAAATTACATTGTCTTTTTTTACTGTTGAATTTAGTGGTTTGATCCTTAGGAATATGAGAGAAATAAACTAAAACTATGCTTCTGTTCAGTAATGTAATTTATTTCCCAATAATTTCTTATTTGAGTTACCTTGATTTTACAGTCTGTAAAGAATTGGAAATTAGAATATTTGAAACTGATTTCTAGGACTTTCAAATAATTTTCAGCTTTTAAATTCCATTAGTTTTAATATAGAAACATAAAGTTGAAAGCAAACTAAAAATGGTTCTTGACACCATTGTACACAATACTTCACTGACATTTTCTAAAGTGTTTCATGTAGAAAATGAAAGCAGTTTATGAAGATAAAACACAAAAAGTAAATTTCTCGTCTGCCCAATACAGTACTTCACCTGAAAATGGCCTATAGTTTTTTTTTTCATTCCCTCAAAGAAAAAAATAAATATAATTTAAAATTATCCCTCAACCATATAAAAGTAAAGGGTTAAAACTATACTATCTTTTTTTTTTCAGGGAGGAATAATTAGGTTAACATATTTATTTATTTATACTGGGGCCTGAACCCAGGACCTTGTTATGCTAAGCATGTGCTCTACCACTGAGCTCTACTCTCCTCCTACTTTTATTTTTATAAATGAAAAACACATAGTGACTAATGAATTATACAAGACACATAAATATTAGTGTTTTGGCTACAATTATATCTCTGTTCACTCTTGTCTCATTTTGGAATTATTTAATCAGTCCAGCACACAGATATTTTAAAAGATTAAAGGAGGCAAAATTAACCATGTTTCCAATGTTTTGGAACAATTTCATGGCATACCTTGATATCATGTTAATATACTTGGAAATCATCAGAAAAAATGGTATTCTAGAATCACTGAAATAAAAGTTGAATTGAATTGCTTTTTAATAGTTATTATAAATTATATATCTCATTTATTAAGCGCCTACTTTTAGTAATCATTGTGTTAGGTGCCTTACAAGATAGGTCTTATTATCTATAGTTGAGGCATCTAAGCTTATTAAGTTTTAAATACATTTTTTGGGGTCAAATGCTAGTAAACAGTTTAGCCAAATCATGAATCTACATTTGTTTGCTTCCAGAGCCCTTGTATTAGTCAGTTTCTAATTTGGAATAATCACCAAAAAGATGAGAAACAAATTATATTTACATACAATTTCCATCCATTTCAATGCCTATCTTTGCCAAAAGTTAATGCCATTTATTACCAAATGGGAAAATTCTGATTTGCAGATTGACTAGCTGCAATAAAAAGAAATTTGAAATGACGTTCTACTTAGGGATATTATATCTTCAGTTAAATTTATAATTTTAATTCCAGAAAATAAAACTATAAAGCACAATTACTCTGGAAAGGCTCTCAACTCTTGTCAAGACATCCAGGGAGCTTTTAGAGACAGGCCAAAAGTTTGCCAAACCAGAATCACAACTATATTGAATAAATATTTTCAATGGAATTGAAAAATAATTAAATCCATAGGGTTAGGTCCCTGTTTTAACTATCTCCAACGGGCCAGTTTTAAGAATACACTAAAATGAAAAGTGATATTTTTCCATAGTTGGAAAGTTTCAACACTCAGAATAAAAGCTGACCTGATGTCACACTTTCTGAGCAGAATTAAAATGTTCTCAGATTGGAAAATCGTGTGAAAAGTTGACCAAATCACCCTTTAGTTATTTTCCTTAATTTAAGAGACTTAATTTTGGGCGGTGTGAACAGAGGCAGTTGGAGGTAGGACTATTCACTGGCGTAGGGTAGGACTATACCATGGAGCAAATGCACTTAGTAGAGCAAGAAACAATCTGTTAAATGGAATGTTTTCTTTTCATCCAACATGGGAACACTCAAATAAACACTGCCATAAACTACAAGAACCAGAATTATTCTTGAGAAGTCATTTCATTTGTTACCTTCAAGGCAGGATTACATAAGGAATTTTAAAACATTACATGAGTTTAGGGAAAAGAAACTGGCTGTTACTTTGTGGCCCAGCGTCTGTACTACACACACATTCAGGCAATGATGAGATTCACACAGCTACATGCGTCCCTGGCACAGGGATAACAACTCACAAACTACATAATTTATAGCGTGAGAAATTAAGACTTTAAGAGCATTAAAGATATAATAGTAGTCTAAGATTTTAATAGCATTAATAAAGAGTGCCCTCCTGTTGTTCATGACATTTTAAAACTAAGATTAACTAGCAACACAACCAGATAGACTTATCATTATCTTTTCTGGTAGTTCCAAATATAATCAATCATTTTCAATGCGGCCTATATTTCTACATTAAAAAGTAAAGTTTTAAAATCTTTTCTAAAACTTTTTTTAGTTTTAGTTTTTTTGTTTGTTTGTTTGTTTTGTTTGTTTGTTTTTGCAGCAGAGGGTAGGGTGTAATTAGGTTTATTTATTTATTTTTAGAGATGGTACTGGGGATTGAACCCAGGACCCTGTGTATGGACTTAACATCAGTATAAAACTAGACTTGATTCAAAGGGTATTGCTGGCTTAAATAACAACCTTTTTGGATGTAGTGAATCCAAAGCAAAGAGATATTATATCATTGTATTTCTTCATTAACCTTACTTCAATTTTTTTTTACTTATTTGTGTATATAATTATAACATATACAGTACTTTAGGATCTTTCCTTAAAGTTGGCTCTGGTAAAGAGAAAGTTCTTTCTTACTCATCAACATTAGTGAAGATTTTACTAGGTTTACTAAGTTAACTAAATGGTATTTCAATTAACTTCTACTGTTAACTTGCTGTTCCAGTTTGGCACTGTGTATTTGGTAAACCTGGGCAATCTGCAGCGTAAGTTGTTTTTTTTTTTAATGGGAATAGGGAGGAAAAATTGAAGTGTTTTGGAAAGAGAACAGCTACATTTTGTTTCATTCTGCTTCAATATTATGTTCAGAGCAAAAACTGGCTCAAAACTCAGAGTAACAGATTTAAAATTCCCTTCTCTATAATTATGGTAAGTATATGCAGGAGGATGTGTTCCTAAAAATTTACGTTAGCCTTTGGTCCTATAAATTGTTCTTTTCCTGAGTGGAGGAGTTTGGATCAAATTACAGGTGTGGAACTTTTGTGAGAACTGACATCACTATAGGATATGGTATTGGGATAGACTGATACAAATGATCTGATTTGGCAAATTACAGATGATGAAATGTATAAAGGTCTTTTTTGTTGTTGTTGTTCTTAGTGTAAGAGGTATCATCATGGATGAGAGAGAATACTGGAATAAGAAAATGATGAAAGCTGAATTCTAAAGTCAGGATTAGATCTTATATAGAATAAAGATTACAGAGATTACATTTTTTTAAAGTCTAATCTTTATAGAATAAAGATTACAGAGATTACTTTTTTTTAAATCTTTACAGAGATTACATTTTTAATCTCTGTAAAGATTACAGAGATTACATTTTTTTAAACAGACTTTAAAGTATTTTCTTAAGTATCTATAACATCCTTATGTTAACTGTGTTTTATTTGAAATTACTGCCAAAGTTAAAACTATAGCACTGAATACCTAATTACAGAGACAATGCATCCTGCTTTTCTAAAGACTGAATTTGTTTTTTAACCTGGTGTATTAAATTGATGACTCAGCAAGTTTGGAACTATCCCAGGAAATGACTGCTTAGATTACACTGTGGAAACTCCAACTGCCAGCACGTCTTTAAACATTCAACAGGACTCTGAAACAATTTCCCAACAAGGTCTATTCCATTTAGCAGTTCAAAATGAATTCTCTTTAGTAGTAAAGCTAGAACACAGAGGGGGAGAATTGCCTATACTTGTGGTTTCTTGTTGTCATCTTTGTAAAAATCAAATATAAGATTTCTTGAGAGATAAGTCACTCTACAAGAAAAAATTCAAATGAAAACTTCTCCTATATTAAAATATTTATGTTCATTAACTAAAATGCATTTCACAGACCCATACTGGGGACTGGATTTTGGGGTGACATCAACTCCCCTTGAGTTAAAGAGAAATCAAAAAGTAGAGAACACTTTAGCTTACATGTTGACATCTCTTTTTGGACTCATCACTTTTGGGACTCTTTTTGGTCTTAACCATTACACATTATGCTCCTAAGAGAAGGACAGTGTCTTAATCACATCTGTCCTCTGTTAATGGAAAGAACTGCCTGGTACATGATAAATAGTAAGCACTGCTTGACTAGAACAAAAATGAATGTTTTCAAGAAGTAAATGCATGCAAATAATGAATGAGACATTTCAAAAGAAATGTACAAAATACAGGCTGTAATATAAGCATCTTAAAAATTTAGTACTATATGCCCTGTAACTCTGACGCCCTTGCTCTACAGGATTTCGATTGTAACAGAGTATAATAGCTAAAGATTTTTTTTTTATACTGTACTTGTCTGCCTGCTTCTCACCTCTATTTGGCACGTCCAACATGAATACACAATCTATCAGAACCCTTCTGCTCTGGAAAGAGGAGGAAGGCAAGCTCAAATACATGCCTGTAGGCTGTTATTATTAATGGGTGTTAGGGATGTAACAGAGAATGGTGGAGACTACAGTAAATTGGAGAGGACAGGCTCAGTTTAAAAAGTATGGCTTTGGCTCGAACACTGCTAATGGTTGCCACATGAGGATGAAAGCCCCTTGTTTCCAGATATCTCAGCTTTGTAAGAGAAGCAAAAAGTCTAGTTGTTTTATGAAATAACTGTGTTTCTAAATATTAGCAACTCTGAAAAAATTTTGAAACATTGTGCCAGTCAACTGATTCAGGGAATAAACCTGTTCATGGGGAGTCTGAGACAATGACATAAAACAATAGACAATGACATAAAACACTTCCTGTAACTTTTATAGGTGCCAGATTCTTTTCATAGCGATTTACATTCATTACCTCACTTAAACCTCATGACCACCAGGCTTTTTAAAGATAAGGAAGTTGAATCATAGAGAGATTAAATCATTTGTCCAAGATCACAGCCGAACTGGGCGCTCAGGTAGTCTTGTTCCAGACAGTAATAATTATTCCTCTCTTTTTAGTGTCTCCCAGCTCCTACATTCCCTGGTTTTATGTTAATATAAATATAGAAAGCATTTTCTTCCCTTCATTTAAGTTCTGAAGGAAGAGTTCATAGGAAACAATGAGAATAATCAAGTGATAGTATGTTCTATGTGCCAAAATGCAGTGTGAAAATATTGTGAACCCTTAATCCTGACCTACAGAAGAGACTTTCAAGCAGCTCATCTGTGCTCAGAGGATAGCATCTGAGTTATACATGTTTGTTAGAGCATAATGACTAGCTGAATAAACAGCTTCTATGATATAAGTATCACTCAGGTGCCTGCCTACTTCCCTGTTAAGGAACTGTTATTCTTAAAAGATATCAGCAAAACTGTATGAAAACAGATTCAACCCAATAGTAATCCTTTATTCCAGAAGTTTTAAGATCTAGCATTTTTCACTATCATTCAAAGAACTGTGCAGAATAGCACCTTATGACAGTGTTCTCCTATTGCCATCAAGATGGCTTTATTTATAGTTGCCAAGATATGGAAGCAATCTAAGTGCCCATCAACAGATGAATGGATAAAGAAGATGTGCTACACACACACACACACACACGCACACACGCACACACAATGCAATACTACTGAGCCACAAAAAATAATGAAATTTTGCCATTTGCAGCAACATGGATGGACCTGGAGGGCATTATGCTAAATGAAATAAGTTAGACAGAGAAAGACAAATACTGTACGAGATCACTTAACATGTGGATTCTAAAAAATACAACAAACTAGTGAATATAAGAAAAAAGCAGCAGACTCACAGATACAGAGAATGAACTTGTGACCAGTGGGGAGAGGGAGGGGAGGAGATGCAATATAGGGGGAGAGGAGTAAGACACACAAACTCTTAGGGATAAAATAAGCTACAAGGATATATTGTACAACATGGGGAATATAGCCAGTATTTTATAACAATGACAAGTGGAGTTTAACCTTTAAAACTGTAAACCACTATACTGTACACCGGTATTTTATATAATATTGTACATCAACTATACTTCAATAAAAATGATAGATCTGTCTAATTTAACAAGTGTTTCCTGGGACAAATGCTACCTAAAGGCCCAAGTCAGATGCTACAGGACATATAAAGGCAAGTAAATAACGTCTCTGTGCCCAATGAGTCGATTATCCAATAGAATTCTGGACACAAAGTAACTGCTACCATCAACAATAACAATACGTGCTCTTCCCTTCTTCAGGCATAGATGGCTCTCACTTATTCTTCAGACTTTAGGTCACATACCATGAGGCCTCCAGACCACTCAACTTCTTGTCGGCTTCCCCTCCACATTTTTATTCTCTGGCACATCATCCTGACCCATCACTGCAGCCTGCAACTGTCTTATTTACCTATTTGTTTACTACTTCTTTACTATTTCCCTTCGGTAGAATATAAGTCTGTGAGAAGGGGAGCTTGACTGTTTTGTTCATCACTGTATCAGCAACTTCTCGAACACTGACTCACACAGAATAAGCGCCCATAAGTATGAAGGTTTGAAGAAAAGATAAACCACTCCCATGGTGGAGATGGAGCAGTCGTTCAGAAAAGTAATTTCCTGAAGAAGAGGCATTTGATGTGCATCCTGAAGTGAGCCTTGCCATGCAATGACTATGTTGACTATTATTACCAGTTAAAATTCTGTTTAGGACAACTCAGTCCCCCTAATCTTTGGGCTGCCTAGAGATTTCTTTCATATACTCTGAAACCTGTTTATCCCACTTGGAAATGATTATTTAACCGTCCCCCTAGTCATTGCTAATAAAACATGGCTGTGAATGCTTAGTCTGAGGCTATTTTATGAAGCCAAAAGGAACGATCAACTTCTTTTAACAACACTTAGATGAGCATATCAACTTTCCCACGGGGAGCCTGGGATTTTCCAGCCTCGAGCCGTTCTTGGACAACAGACAAGTGCGAAGACCCCTGGGAAATGGAGTTCACGTAGGAACACCCATGTTTCCATGCCTTATAACTCACTGAGTAGAGGGTACAGTGTTTGGAGAGTTTTAAATTGTTCAGTGCTATCCTGTTACAATTCTGATTCTATATGCCTTGAACTATCTGCCAAGTGCGCCAGATAAATGAGTTTGGCTCCTCAGTTGGATACCCTAAATATATAGCATAAATAAAATCTAATCAACACCTTTTCATAATAGTGAAAAGGACTGCTACAGAGCAGGAAAAAGAAAGTGTGCCCCCTGCTTAGTGGTGACGGATGCTGTTTTGCAGTGGAGAATCCATTTCTTAATGTTTGCAGCAATTTGTGAAAGCTTTCACAGTAGCAACATAAATAATCTCTTATTAAAAATACAAGGCAATCTGGATTTGCTGGGTGCTAAAGTAGTCTTGGAAGTTACATTAACTTTTACATTGCTTCACTCTTTTTTAGTAAACAGAAATACAGGGTAAAAGAACCTTACTATTTTCTTAAGCAATCCAACCTTTGCAGGGAAAGCACTAAACCTGTTGGAGAATTGTTACAAATTACAGGCATTGTTCCTTCAAAAAGTCAGTCACCAGCATACTACCAATCTGTGGGTTCCTGGAGGAGAGGGGAGACATAACACAAGTAAGATTACTTCTCTTTTTACTTGATGGCAATACAACCTTAATGCCGCACACTACACGTTTATAAAATAAAAAAGAAGCATTTCCACTGAGGAAGAAGATCACTTTGCATGTCAACAACTTCTGCTCTGGGGCCTCGAGTGTCAAACTTGATTTACATATAGAAAGTAAACTGGAAGGTAAAGAGATTACGTGGAAAATTGAAGAATATTGATTTTAGGGACATGGACTCTCACAGTATTTGACCCTGACTGAATTGACAGCTGGCTTGGGTTTATGAGCTCAATGGAAAGCTTAATGAAATAATCTGAAACACGGCTTTCCCCTTGATTACTACTGCCTTGGAGACACCAAGGAGAAGCTGGAAAAGCATGCCACAAATACAGTCTAAGGCTACAAAGGTCAGAGCCTCTCCCTTCAGAAATGGCCCATAAGGATAACTTCACAGTATTTTATAGGATTTTAGCCTCAATAATCAGTGATGAACATGTAGCATATATGTGTATGTATGTGCACATGTGCTTCTGAAACAATATGGTACAACCAAAGACTAGATTGTAATGCAACTTAGCTAAAAAAGAGAGAGAAAAAGATGAGACTTTTTCTTTACCTACCAAAAAAAAAAAAGCTTTGAGTTTTAAAAGTATAGGACAGCACTAACTCAATGAAATTATATCACTCAGTGATACTTTTTAGTGCACAGCTACAGAGAAACAGACATTTCCAAAAACTGGGCTATTTGGAGATACGTATTTTTGTTCATAACTTCTAGACAATGTTTCTGCATTCTAGATTGAAATGCAATCTAGACATAACTGCATTTCACCATGTTTACTATCAAAATGACAATACTTTTACTCTTCTTGAGAAGGGAGATAGAAATTCATCTGACAAGACAGAACCAAATATCAAAAAACCAAGTCCAATGGATCAAGTAAAATACTGTACCTAAATATTTCTGAAAACACAGATAAACATTTTAGAAGCTAAATTATCTACACAGTTTCTAGAAGTTTACTTAATGTACAAATTCCAATCATCCACTTTCCTCACTCCTCCTCGTTACCATTTTTTCTACACAAAACTTAATTTCTTTTCTGGGTCTGAACACTCAGGGGGATATACAAGCTTTCCAAATGATAAGGAGTAACTTTTTTTCAAAGTACTCAGCTAGGTTAGGAATTTGAGACAGGACTTAAATTTGGCCCAACATGACATTAGATGGACACATACGGCCACTAAGCAAGTGCCTGCTGATGGTGACAAGGTGGGTGGAGTAGCAGGGTTGTTTAGCGTCTTAAAGCAGAGAGCTATGTTTCGTGTCTTAAGGTGTGCTTGTGCAGAGTGTTACGGAGGCCAAGGGACCTTTTTGAAGTGAATGCAGGCCTTTCAGAGTTTTCACTAAAGATTCATTTGTTCTGAAGACCTGTACGTTTTGGAAGTGTGGACAGTGGTATATGATGCCTCCTTCCCCGGTGGAGTTCATGAAGAACTCTCCAGCCATGTTCCTATTTAGAATTACATACCTGGAAGTCTATGTTGAGAGCCCATGAATTATGAATTAATAATGTACATAAGATAAGCCAAACACATTAAATGGAATCAGGCAAGAGCTAATCAGTAGCACATCAAAGCAGGCCTCACACTCTTAGTTTCACTGATGGGCTCCTTCACCACAAACGTACCACCACACATACTCTTCTGACTCTCAGGATGTGGACAGAAGTGCTGGTTAAAGAATTTTTGGATGTCTTTTCCTCACTTGAAAGTATATACTGCTCAGGTTTGAATTTGGAAAACTAGTTTATCCAATCATCAGAAGAAATCTTGCAATATCTGGCAAATGTCCTACATGGAGGTACGTCATGGTGCATATTTAGACAGAAAAAGTGACTTTTTAATTCAGATAAACCACCAGGATTCCTGGGACTCCAGAACACAAGCTTAACAATTAAAGTCCCCATTTCTAAATAGACTTTTGCTATTTTGGAAAATATCCTGGAAAATATTCAATTTGGCCAGAAATTTCATCATAGTTTCATTCAGGAACAGAAATAACTATTTTTTTCACCATTTTTTGCTTACCTGAAAAGAATCTACCTCGACTATTATAAAGCATGTCAGGATCCTATCCAATTACAGATACATAATGCAATACTAGTATTCTCTAGTCTTTGTTTACTTATTTATTTTTTAATGAATAGAAACAGTAACTGAATGAGTCATTTCAGGGGAAGATTTTCTAGGAAAGTATGCAGCCAAGACTTCTTTTCAGTATAATGCTTGTCTTAAATGTGAGTCAGTAAGCTCTGTGAAAATAATAGCAGTTTATGGCAAATTATTATTTAAAAAATATGTACCCTCACATAAAAAGTTAAACTGAGTATTATCCAAATTTTATAAAAACTAAAGGATGTGAAGGGTAAGGATATAAAATAGTCAAACATAGGAAAAGCTTTTGGAATAAGCCATTTATTTCCTAATAATTTCTGTAAGGCAGTCTGAATGTTAAGAATTACCAAAAAGACCAGGCTAGTATTTAATTTCACCAAAAATAAATTCTCCCTAGAGGCTCTTAACCTCAAAGCTATAATAGTAAAACCTTCCTTCAAGCATTTAAAAGCATTTAAAATAACTTCATTCAAGTTCTTAAGTTTTTAAAAAAAATTCCATAAGAACTATCTAGCTTTAAAAAAAAGTGTGCCATGAGTTGCAGCTACCTTGACTTCAGCTAATTTATGTCAAGAAAAGACCATTCTCCTAAATCATTTGAAAAGACTATTGTGCTTAATCTGCCTACATTGATTTATTTTCAATAGTATTCCATGTATAGTAAGATAATGAGTGAAAATTTGTTTTTCTCCGTGTTAAAGTATTAGTATGGGAAGAAGACAACAGAAGCACATGTAAAACTAAAAATATAATTTCATCATCGATTAACAGACAGAGGATTACTGTCATAATGTATATTCCAAGCAACCAATAAGCAATTCAATAGACAGGAAATTAGCCATAGGTGAAATACAAATGGCCAATAAATATATGAAAATCTGTTTACCTTTTCCAGTAAAGAAATAATATTAAGGAACAGAAATTATTTTATCTATCAAATTAGTAAAAAAAAAACTTCTAAAATATTAATAAAATCAGTTGTTGGGAAGAGGACAAAGAAATGGAAACTCATACACTGCAGTCAGTGGAGTCATAAATTTAAACTTTTGCAACCTTTTATAGAACTATTTGTCAAAAATGTAAATATTCTTCAGTTTACTTGGCTTATATGGATATAATTTACTGGATTCATTCAATAAATATTTATTGAGAAACCTACTAATACTTCTACAAATCTGCGAAAAATACATAGAAGGATGTGCATTTCAGCATTGTTTAAGAAAAAGGAAGCAATATCATCAGTAGGAGAGATTAATTAATATATATCACTGTGACATAATACCAGGAAGCTTTTACAAAAACGTATTTGTCTGCATATTGTTCATTTCTGCAAGTCCACAAGGACAGAGACTGATCCAAGTTTTGCATCCTGCAGTTACAAACCTGAAAGCGTAAACTGACTAGGTCATACTGGACCTGGAGCCAGGACCAGGATTCCTGAACGATGCTGCAGCTCACAAACTGTCACTAAAATATTCCTCTGAAATAATGGTCAAATTTTGTGAATCATTTTCTTTCAAGATATTTATAAAGAAAAAAGAAAAGTTTATTACCTTTTCAACAAACGCGATATAAATGACCTCAAGAACAATAGCTTATGTAGAAAATTCATCTTGTTTCCCTCAGGAGCTATCCCATGAAGGCCTGGCTGTCTCTAAGTTGTGCACCTTCCACAGAAGAGCACACTACTGTTCAGTCCTCCTTTACACAATCTGCTCCCATTTCAGTGTAGGAGAGGGAATTGTAAAATGCCTCCTGTCCTCATTTCACTTTATTACCAAGGGATAATTTGAAGTGAAAGATACTAGTTTACATTTAAAATTATATCTGAAAGGCACTGTAAATTACAAAATTTAAATTTACTAGAATATCAAAAATTATATTGACCTAGCATTCACCCTGGACTTCTCTAAGTAGGGCCATATTTTGAACCAGGATGATTTTCCAAATACGGAAATTTACCATTATTGAAGCAGACTTCTTCATTTTACACCTTAAGAATCAAGATATCTTGACGTGTCAATTTTATTTAACCCAGAACATGTTCTGGTTGTGTTTTCGTGAGCTTTCTTTGTTAGAGTTATCTTAGCAAGACCATCTTAGAAGAGACAATAATAATGTTTGGAATTTATAGTCTCATGAAGGAAAAGAACAATACGTCAACTCTCAATTCACCAGAGGTACAGAAAGAAGAAAAACTAAAATAAACATTAACAAGTCAACTGGTCAAAACAAGCTATCACAAGAAGAGGGCCCTGCTTTAACGCTTGCTTCTCCTCCATGATTAGGTTTATTAATTGTTTAAAATAGATAGAAAGCCAATTTTGGAGGGTATATTTTCCACATATAATTTCTTCTTGGATTGAGATCTTGATATATATACTTGCATACCATCCTTTCAAAAAGTAACTAAATAGACTGAGATAATATATTAATAAGGATTCAAAGCTCCTTTCTTGAAAAGTTATATTCATCTTCAGGCAGTCCTTGTTTTTGACTTACTGTGCCAACCAAAACTTGTGGCTATCGGGATGGTGACCTTACTTGGCAGAGTTCTGTGGTAGCGAGCACCAGGACACAGTTCCAACATGCATGCATTTCAGGTAACCTGCCAGCAGGTAAAATGAGTGTTGACTGTATTCTGTTCTATTCTCAACTAGTTTGCTCAGTTACATAGAAAAGATACCAGTGTTATGGAACCAAGTAATCTGAGGGCAAAATTTTATCTGTTAAACCATCGATTAGTCTAATGCCTGCACTGCTCTGTCTTATTGAGTACTGTGAAAACGTAAATAATAGCAACAGGAAAAGACAACAACAACAACAAAAAACCGTGGGCTTTCTGCAGTTCAATAGGTTGGATTCTGAGCTAAATTCTGAGCCAATTATTCTCATTAATATTATAATGTTGGTTTGCAAAAGATAGTTAGTACCTACCTCAAAGCCAGGACTCACAGGAGACTGAAACATGAAGTTGTAAGAGTAAAAAGCAGACAAAGGTACAAAATAAAGGGAGGAAAAAGACAAGAGAACAGTGTTATTAGAGGAAAGCAATGCATGTTACTTAATAATATTATTTCCTATACATATGATTTTAAGAAAAAGCAAAATGTTATACTAATCAGTGTTTGTGGCCAAAGAAACATCTAGGTTGGAAACTGCTATTTAACATTTAAATGGAACCAGAGATACTAACTCAAGGTTGCAAAAACACAGTTTACAGTTTTTCTTTTTCTTTTTTTAACATTTTTTATTGATTTATAATCATTTTACAACACAGTTTACAGTTTTGAACTGGTTGAGGTTAAAAAAAAAAAAAGATCTACTTGTCACCATGTCAGTGATGAAAGATGGTTCATACACCTTGTTGAAAATAAATTACAGTCAGAATGAAGCATTTTGACCTTTAAGTGAAAGATTAGATTTTCTTCACAATAATTCATCCTCTCAATGGAAAAAGAAAGAAAAAGGTCATCAAAGTAATCAAATGTGACATAGTTGTTATCTGCCTGCAGGCAAGAACAAGCTGATGAACAATCAGTATCAGTCAGTGCTTTACAAACCTGGAAAGTCCAATAATGGGTTAGAGTTTTAATGAGAGAAATATGTCGACAGTGTGTTCTTTGCTTGATTTAGAGTCTCTGCTGCTTATCATTGTTTTCTGTCTGATTTTATTCAAAGTGAAATAGCATTCAAAAGTAGAAAGGTTATTATGAATTTTTTTAAGAGGAGAAGGCGTATCAATGAAAAATGTTAAGAAACAGCTTTGGTTAAGTAGACGCATATCTGGCAATTTATGCTGAATACGCTCTTTTTCATCTCTGTACCTTCAAGCTTTTGGGGGCAACTCTATCTGATAACTAGAAAACAAATCAAAACGAAAATACAGTTGGCTCTGTATTAACAAAAATGCATGACTGTGTTTTGAAATCAGTGACATTTCCAGTGCTGAATAAACCACTGCACTTTGAGAAAAATCCTATTATCTGTTCTCTCAACCCTTGTATCCTAATTTGCAACCTACAGCTAACTCATTTTGTCAGAGACTTTCGGAAGTGGTGTACATTTAGATTGAGGTTGTGCTAAGATTGTTATGCAGTAACCTGTTAGATTTATGGATTAACATGAAGCATGACAGAACTCAGGGGCAACAACCACTCATTTGGCCAGATCCAAACATGACTTTGGAGGAAAAAGTGTAACTACTCAAATGTACTTTTATGGAACATTTTCATACAGAAGTGGCAAAGCTTTCTTTTGGGAGAGGAAATCAATCAAGTTTCTCAATTTCTATAATAAGATACTCTCCTTGTCATTAACATATCTGATATCCCAAAGATCAGAATTTTCCTCCAATTTGCAGTCCTGCATGGCTCTATTCTGGGCCATCATCAGAATCCAACTTCAGCTGAGTGCTGTTCAGAGCATGTAATAGCTGATGACAATTTATGCAACGTGCATTAATTCACTTATTCTTCTAAATTATCAGCTCTCAAAGTGCATGTTTTTCCCCATTAGATATTCCTAGGTTTTATGAGAAAGAGGGATTACATATTTGAGCCAGTTTAAGAACACTGATTTTCATTATTGCAAGACTTCTGAGAACCATAAATATGTATAATGAATACTGTGATATCTGGTACCCGGACAGGCCAAGAAGCATTTCCCAATCTTATTTGACTAGGAAAGTATTTTTCTTGCAGAATATTTTATAACACCATTATTTTTGAAGAAAAAATTATACAAACACACATCTCTGTATTTCTCCCCTGTTATCAAATTAGAATCACCAGAAATGTCCACAGGTTATCAAGAAAAAGAGAGCCACCTATTCCTTTGGCAGTTGGTTGTAATTTTATACTAGAGTTTTGTTTTTATTTTTGTTTTCTCCTTAAGATGGTCATATGAATCACAGTTTCGTAGCTGTGGTGAAGACTACTGTAGAAAACAATGTTGGTTATGCAAATGACTACTATGTATATATATCAGGATGATTTGGTATATTACTTTTCATTTAGCACTCAAATAATTTATTTTCTGTTACAGAATAATGTAATTTCTATATCCCCATTTTCCTTAAATTGACTAACAGAAATCTCAGAATTAACCTTATTTATTAATTATTCTGACATAATATTTCATTCTTTTCTCACACGACTTGTGATGAAGAAACCTAATGACTTTACAACTTGCTATTTGGACAGCTACTTGTTACTATCATTTCAAAACATTTTTATTGTGGTATAATTTATATGGAATAAAGTACAGAAAATTCTAGGTGTACAACCTGATGAGGTTTCACATGAACATATAAGGATGTAACCTCTACCCAGATCAAGATATAGAATATTTCCAGCATCCAGAAGGCTCTCTCCTGCTCCCTCTCAGTCAGCACTTGACTAAGATGAACCATTATTCTGATGTCTCTCATCATAAATTATTTTTTCTCAATTAGAAATTCATATACTGGATTCATAAGCATATACTTTTTTGTGCCTGTTTTTTCCCCCAAAATATTATTTTGTGAGATTCATATATGCTGTTGAGTGAATCAACAGTTCCTCAATTCTACTGCTGTATTGCTGTATACAATTCCATTGTATGATTGTACCACTATTTGTTTCTAGCTTTTAGCTACTGTGAATAAAAATACTAAAGACATGCTTGTAATGATACTATTCACATTAGCATCCCCTCAAAATGAAATACTTAGGTATAAACCTAACAAAATATATATAACATCTATCCGAAGAAAACTATAAAACTCTGATGAGTGACATCAAAGAAGAGTGAAATAATGGAGAGATATTCCATGTTCATGGATAGAAAGACTCAACACTGCTAATATGTCAGTTCTTCCCAACTTGATCTATAGATTCAGTGCAATCCCAATCAAAAGCTCAGCAAGTTATTTTATGGATATCAACAAAGTGATTCTATAGTTTATGTGGAGAGACGAAAGACCCAGAGTAGTCGATACAACACTGAAGGAGAAGAACAAAGTTGAAGTTGTAGGACTGGTGCTACCCAACTTCAAGACTTACTATAAAGATATAATAATCAAAACAGTGTGCTATTGGTAAAAAGAAACACAGATCAATGAATCAGAATAGTGAGACCCAAAATAGGCCCCCATAAATATAGTCAACTCACCTTTGACAAAGGAACAAAGGCAATTAAATGAAGCAAAGATGGTCTCTTCAATAAATGATGCTGGAACAACTGGACATCCATGTGTAAACAAATGAATCTAGACACAGACTTTACGCACATCACAAAAAATTAACTCTACATGGATTATAGACCTAAATATAAAACACAACACTATAAAAATCATAGAAGATAATACCATAGAGAACCTAAAGAGTTTGGATATGGTGATGTCTTTTTAGATATATAACTAAAAGCATGATCCATGCAAGAAATAATTGATAAGCTGGACTTCATTAAATGTAAGACAAGGTTAAGAGAACTAGAAGACAAGCCACAGACTGGCAGAAAACATCTGCGAAATATTTGCAGAAGACCCATTTAATAAAGACTGTTATCCAAAATATACAAAGAACTCCTAAAACTTCACAATAATAAAACAAACAACCCAATTAAAAAATGGGCAAAAGATCTTAATAAAAACCTCATCAAAGAAGATATATGGATGGCAAATAAGCACATGAAAAGAAGTTCC